GGATTTTAGTTTTGTTTGTAAACACTAACTGTATTATCCAAACTGATCTGGGTCTCCTAGGTTCGAGTGACTCCCACGTCTTTGTCTCCTGAGAAATTAAAGGCATAGGTAGCCACTATGCCCAGCTAACGATAAGTTGGTATAGAAAGGGAAAAAACATAATGCTAGTTTTGTTGGTTTGGATTCTGTCAGTGTGTGTCTGGCATTCCCATACCACAGCTCAGTTTATTAAATGCAAAACAGTGTCAGAGGGACATGTAAAATCCATGAAACAGACACTTTCATTTGTTTATTAACAAACTGCAAGCAGACATTAGTCTGCACACATTCTGTAAACGGGCTGAGTCTTAGAGAACAGGAGGAAATTCCATAAAGATATTTCTGATTCCACTAAATGGCATTTTTGGGGCCGCTCTGACCTTTTTAAATATGAAAGGAAAATAACACTCATCTCTCAAGCTGCCATTATAAGCAACATTCTGCAGCAGGATTTTATAAAGGGCTAAAATAGTTATAGTTGCAACAGAAACAACCTTAGGGATCTGTGGAGATGCTAAAAGTAGCAGAAGGCCTCCTGTTGTTTTGCAACTAGCGGGTTGGTACTGGGAGTTCTAGGGAATGGATTTATCCTGTGTGCACACTGAATTGATTTTGACAGGCAGTTCTCCACTGCTGGCTTTATTCTCACAAGCTTGGATGTTTCCAGAATATGTGTCATATGTATAATAATCTCTGGCAAATATTGTTTTCGCCAGGTATATTTGCCTCTGACACCCACGTTACAGGTGTTGCTTACCTGTTAATAATTATCAGTCACATGTGTTCATGTCACCAGCCTCAACCTCATCTTTCTCCTGAAGACAGCATTTTTTTTTCTCATTACATCTTCCTCTGGTTGAAGAGAAGAATCAATGAAATGTTTACTCTTCTTCTAGGATGCTTGTTTGTATCATGGCCAACTGCTTTTCCACAAAGAGTGGAGATGTTTAATGATGACCTAAAACACATAAATACATCCTGGCAGTCTCACCTCCTTGAAAGTTAGCTCCGAATAAACTACGTTTTCCTCAACCTGGAAAACATGTTCTTCTTTATAATGGCAATCATCACCTGCTTTCTATTAATTATTTCATTTTGGAAACACAACAGGCAGATGCAGTTGAGTGTCTCAAGAATCAAAACCTTTAACACACAAGTTCATATGAAAGTTTTATTTTTTCATTATCCAGTTTATCTTGCATTTCATAGATATGTTCACATAAACATTGAGCTTTTTCAGATCGGAAAATAAACTGCTATTTATTTTGGGTTTAACTACTGCATGCATGTGTCCTCGTTCGTCCTAATTCCAGCAAACAGCCAGCTGAAGCAAGCTTTTGTGTGTGTGTGTGTGTGTGTGTGTGTGTGTGTGTGTGTGTGTGTGGTAGTGTTTGGTTCTATTCTAGGTCTCTCCAGACAGTGTCAGCGGTGAGCTCCATCGTTGAGTTGGTCTCAAGTTAGACCAGTCATCGTTTGGCCATTCCCACACACTCTGCTCCACCTTTACCCCTCCACTTCTTGCAGGCAGGACAAAAATGTAGCTCAAAGGTGTTGTGGCTGGATGTCCTCCACGGGAAGCCTTGCCTGGTTACAGAGGATGGCTTATTCAGAATCCGTATCCCTCATTATTATGAGTCTGAGCTAGCTAGGGTCACCCTCACAGATTCCTGGGAGTTTCCATTGCACTAAGTTTCTAACTCACTCCTGAAATGCCTCCCAAATCTAGTTTTGTTTTGTTTTGTTTGTTTTGTTTTAGAAGAAGCCATTTATTTGCTGGTAATTGATAGATAGACTTGCCAAGGCACTCATATGTGCTCCAGCATGAAACCATCAAATTTGAAATGAAATGTAGGACCCTTAATGTATTCCAAGTTGAAATAATGCAGCTTCAGGTAAAGTCTATTATGAGAAATTTAATTATCTGGCTTTGAAAAAGTCTGAGAAAGTAGAAAGGTTTCCATAGGCCGGACCTTTCTTAATATTTTACAAGATATGTCAACAAAATTGTACTTTTGGATGAGATCTTTGATAGTGGTTGAATCAATTTCTCTCAGGCAGTAGGTTCATTTGATAAATTTGGAAATATTTCTTCTTTTTTTTCTTTTTGGTATTCATAGGTACCATTACCTTGCTGCTTTGAGAAACAGAAGCTACTTGCAATCACACTGAGACAATTCAATTTACAATTTTGCTTTTTAATGACTACTGAGAGTAAAAAGACTTAGGTAGAACAACTTTTATATCATAGTTGAGCGTGGTGGAGCATACCTTTAATCCCAGCACTCAGGGAGGTGGAGGCAGGTGGACCTCGTGAGTCTAAGGCCAGTCTGGTCTACAAAGTGAGATCCAGGACAGTCAGACAGCCAGGGCTACACACAGAAACCTTATATCAAAAACAGCATATATATATATTATTTATATATATTTATATTTATATACACAAATATATATACAAATATATATATTGCAAAACTTCTCATACTTTGGTGGACTTTTAATTCCATGTAAAAAGTTGGTGCCTTAAACAGTCTTTTGACCCTGATACTTCTTCCTACACACATTTTTCCAAAGGAAAAATGTCTGACTGAAAATTACTGTATATAAAGTCCTTCTTGGTGAGGACTTTATTAAACACCAGGAACAAGAATTTGCATTGAGACTGTCTGACTTCCACAGGGCAATAACACCCTTTCCCAAAAAAGACCCAAGAAAAAGCAGGACAGTTATGCTCAATCTTGAAACTGGAGAAAGCAATGATGTTTTTTGTGTGTGGATACAATTTTACTTCTTACAAAGTTACTTTTACTTTCTCCATTTAAATCCCCCAAATACTTTTAAAGTTTGATGTAGTCTTAATGGTAGATGGATGGAGTTCTATGAAAAAAAATCAGCCCAGTGGAACAGTTTATCTGAAGGAGAAGGAAGCAGAGCACCAAAGAAGGCATATACACTCTTCAGATGCAGTGATTCAGATAATGAAGTGAACGAATGAATTTTAATTGAGAAAATAATCTGCTGGAGCAGATGTTAAGAACTCATTGTGGTCTTTGACCAAGAGAGAATGGACTGAACTCTGGAAAGCAATCTGGCACTTTCTCAGACAACTAGGAATAGCGCTTCCTCAATATCCAGCCATACCACTCCTAGGCATATACCCAAAAGAGTCTCAAGTACACAATAAGGACATTTGCTCAACAATGTTTGTAGCAGCTTTATTTGTAATAGCCAGAAGCTGGAAACTGCCCAGATGCCCCTCAGTGGAGGAATGGATGCACAAATTGTGGTATATCTACACAATGGAATATTACCCAGCAATAAAAAACAAGGAAATCATGAAATTTGCAGGTAAATGGTGGGATCTGGAAAAGATCATCCTGAGTGAGCCACCCCAGAAGCAGAAAGATGCACATGGTATATAGACATATAGACATATAATATAGGATAAACCTACTAAAATGTTTTTGTCAAATTCTATTTCAGGAAGACTTACCACTGGATTTTCTTTGAGGTTTTATTGATTCAGTTCTTATCGAGGTGGTTGTGACCTACAATCATTTGAGATTTTCATAATATGTGAAGGAGACGTCCACTGTGCTCCCTTCCATGAGGGCAACTAGTTCTTCCAGCAATGGTGTTAGAACATTCATTATTCCCTAACGACTTCCATGTAGAGTGTGCCTACGCTGGACTCTGTTTCACGTACAGTGTGCCTATGCTGGACTCTCTTTCACTGTGAGCTCCAGTAATCTATACCCATAAATCAGGCCAAGAGAAAGAGAAGTCTTTTTTCCATTCATTCATTTGAAACTGAAGATGTGTTTGAAGGTGGTGCATGACCATGATCCCCGGAACCCAGAGTACAGGGCAGAAGGCTCACAAATGCAAATCTATCCATACATACATAGGGAAAGCCCGTCTCTAAAGCACACGTACTCACGCACATCAACTATGATTATAATAATGCAAATAGTATCTGTACTAAAGGCAGAGTTTGAAGATTAGTTGAGAAGATGAGTTATGAAATGTTTAACATACTAAACACTCAATAAATGTCACTTTTAACTTTAGAATCATGTATCCATTTACTTGAGGTTTTCTGCTCCCTCATTAGAAGATAAGCCCCATGGACCAGGAGGGTTTTATGGATCTATGAACTCAGCATCTTACCTCTCAGACCAGAGGAGAGCATACTGAAACACTGAAAGAAATATATCTTGAATGTATAAAAGAAAAGATGTTGTCAAATTGAAGTATGGGAAATGAAGAGACTGTTCAAAATTCACCAGCACAGTCTTCCTGCATGAAGGTCACAGAATTCAGTATGTAAATCACCGCAGCTGCTCTGGGAAAATTCCCAATTCTATAGTGAGCTTACATTTTACTGAAATCAGTTTTTGAGTCAGATTTTGTGTGTGTGTCTTTTATTCCAGAGTGATTTTTGGAGTTTGGATTTTTTCCAATTTCTGAAGTTGTTTTGCTATATAACCCAGGTCTCAAAGCCCTGTGTTCAAGTAATCTCAGCCTCCCAAGGTGCTGGAACTAAAGGCATGTGGCCTCATGCCGAACTCACAATGGTAGCTTCATGATGAAGAAGAGGCAGAGCAGAGCTGTTTTCCGTTGTCTGACAAGTGTGTCTAACACTCACGCTCCACATTTGATTGCTAAATGCAAATAGTCTCAAGGGAACAAGTAAATTCCATGAAACAGGAACTTCCATTTGCTTATTAACAAACTTCAAACAAACGTTAGCCTGCACACATTTTATAGACAAGCTAAATCTTCAAAATAAATAGAAAGAAGCCCCACAAAGTTGACTCCATGACATGACAATAGGCTTGAAGAACTTGTCTCTGTGTAAAGAAGATGCCATAACTCCTCCATCAAGAAGCAATATATATGGAACATGCTCCAGCAGAGAATCTATGACAGATGAACAGAGCAACCTGAGGTGACTTGCAAAGATGCTGAATGCAGCAGAAGGCATCCTCCTTTGTGTTGTCGCTGGTGAGGCAGTGCTAGGAGTTTTAGGGAATGCATTTATTGCACTTGTGAACTGCATGGACTATGCCAAGAACAAGAAGCTCTCTAAGATTGGTTTCACTCTCACTGGCTTAGCAATTTCCAGAATTTGTGTCATCTGGATAGTAATTTTACAGGGATATATATATTTATTCGTTCCACACATCCTTACTACTAGCAACATAACTGAATGCATTACTTACCTATGGGTACTTATCAGTCACTTAAATGTCTGGTTTGCTACCAACCTCAACATCCTCTACTTTCTAAAGATAGCAAATTTTTCCAACTCTGTGTTTCTCTGGCTAAAAAGGAGAATTAGTGCAATTTTTATCTTTCTGTCAGGATGCTTGCTTACCTCGTGTTTAATACGTTTTCCACAAGCGGCGAAGATAGTAAAGAATAGTAAAATGAACTACACATCCTGGCTCCACCAGTCGAAATATGACTTAATTATTAACCAAAGTTTATCCAATCTGGGAGTGACTTTCTTCGCTGTGGTATCTCTGATTACCTGTTTCCTGTTGATCATTTTCCTGTGGAGACACATCAGGCGGATGCAGTCCGATGGCTCAGAATTCAGAGACCTCAACACGGAAGCTCATGTGAGAGCCTTGAAAGTTCTAATATCTTTTATGATCCTCTTTATCTTACATTTTGTAGGCCTTACCCTAGAAGTATATTACTTTATTCTGCCATCAAACAAACTAGTCTTCATAACTGGTTTGACAGCCACATGTCTCTATCCCTGCGGTCACTCAATCATCCTAATACTAGGAAACAACCACCTGAAGCAAGCCTCTTTGAAGGCAGTGCAGTGCCTAAAATGATGTGAGACAGAAAGAAATCTCAGCCACAAAATGGGCTTGCGGATGAGTAGATGTCATGTCCTCCATTTTAACTGTTCCCTGATGTTATTAAAACTTCCTGCACTGGTGGCCTCTGAAGGACCCTACCATTCTGGTGGCATTTTATGTCCATGTGCATCCTTACTTCACCTGGTGACTTGACCGTGCAAATTCTTTCTACAAACTAACCCGATAACAGTTGGCCTGGAGACGAGTCCATATGAAGGCTTTTATGGTGAAAATAAATGTAAAAAAAAAAAATTAATGTTGTTGTCAGTCTCTGACTTTCCCAGGATGAGTTAAGGAAAAAGAAAGTAAGACAAATGGTTATGATCATCTTCATGTCTAGAAAGAACTAGGGACCAGAAGTTGATGCTTGTGTATTTGTGTGTGTGTGTGTGTGTGTGTGTGTGTGTGTGTTTAAACAGATCTTATTGCTTTCATTATAAGTCCTAATGTTCTTTGCTAGTAGTATGTTTTGATATAATAAAAATAACCATAATAGAGGGTGTAGGTCTGTCAAAAGCTGCTAGGGAAACTGAGTCTAGCCAAGTAACTGTGTCCATAAGTCCAGCAAATCGACCTGAGATGAAGCAAAGCCATGAACCATTAGGAATTGGGTAAATATTCTGCTAACATAATAGACCCAAAGGAGTTAATATGGTCAATAACAAAGGAATAAAAAAGGGTAGAATCTACATGAAATGTGAAATTTCTACCTGTATCTTCTGGGAATAAAACTCAGGGCTTTGTATATGGTGATCATACCCTCTACCACTAACTTACAAGTTTTTAAGAAATGTTGATTTGATTTTTAAAATGATTTTTAGAAATATTTCTTTCAATTTTTAGATTATAATTACATGTTTCTCTTCCCCTTTCTCCCTCCAAACCCTTTGCTCTTTCAAATTCGTGGCCTCTTTTTCACTATTTGTTGATATATCGGGTGTGTGTATATATACACACACACACATACATATATATAGATATATATAGATGTATATATAGATATATGTATACATATTTAGTATATATACTTTTATTTGTATAATCAATTGGTATGCTCTCTTCTGCAGAATACTATTTCTCTTCCAAGTCAGTATTCCTCGTTTGCCTATAGTTCTTTGTATAAAGTTGAAGTTTTGTAATATTCCCTCTATTAATTTTGACATACAATCACTCAAGTGAAGAAGACAACTCATAGAGTGGGAGAAAAATTTTTAGCAAGTACACATCAGGTAAAGGTTTAATATATAGAGTACATTAAAAAAAAAGTTAAATACACAAAACTAAACCAATCAATAAATTCACAAATTAAGTAAATGAATAATTCTTTTTTAAAAGAAATGCAGAACTGAAGACAGGAGTGAAACTCTGGGTTCAGTTTCTGACACTCCATAAGCTAAATGTAGTGGTACATGCCTGTAATTCCCAGTTGGGAGGCTAGAGATTCAAGGCCATTCATGGCTATATAGCAAGTTGAGGACAGTCTAGAATAGCAAAGATAAGCACTGACTAAGCATTTTTAAAAGCATTCGATATCCTTAGGCATTAGAGACATATGAATTAGAACTTCTCTGCTATGGCATGTCACCCAGAAAGGCTGTCAAGAAAACCAATAGTATCATGCTGCAAGGATGTAGGAAAGGAGCCATTATATACTGCAGTGAGGAATAAGCTAGTACATCCCCTGTGAAAGTCAGTGGTGGTCCTCTAAGACAGAGAGCAAAATGATCAATGTGACACAGCTATGCTGTTATTGGGTGTATCCCTGAGGGACCCTAAGTCAGCAGAGGCAAAGATATTTTTACATCTATGTTTATTTCTGTAGTAGTCACAACAGCAAAATAATGCATCCAACCTAAGCATCCAACAAGATATGGATAAATAAAGAAGATGCAGTACATACACAATGGAATTTTATTCATCACTAAAGAATAAGATCATGGCATATGTTGGAGGTCACTAAATTAAATGAAATAAGTCAAACTCAGAAAGACAAATACCATGTGTCTTCTCTCTCACGCTGACTATAGATTTAAGAGTGTGTGTGTGTGTGTGTGGTGTGTGTGTGTGTGTGTAGAAAGGGGATAGAAAGAGGGTAGTGGTAGGTCTTAATTGAGTGTGGAGTTAGGAAATACAGAGGAGAGAGAAAAGAGGGATGGAAAAGAGAGAGATAATGAACTGAAAGTAAAAATAGAATTTTGTGGTACTGAGAATAAGACCAGAAAGAGAGTAACAAGGAAGATTGAAGAAGGCAGAGGTGGAGGCTCCTCAAATGAATAAGGAGAATGACGTGTGTTTGAGATAGATAGATAGATAGATAGATAGATAGATAGATAGATAGATAGATAGATAGATAGATA